GTTTGAAATATCCAATAAATTTCGTTCCACTTCATGATTGTGTCCCACTTGTTGTTGATTCTTCACAAAAAATTATAGTTTTATATCTTTATGTTTGAAGCCTGAAATGTGGCAAAAGGTCGCAAAGTTCAAGGGGGCCGAATACTTTCGCAAGGCACTGTAAGAATGTCATTAGTGCTTATTGGTCTATATGTGTGTGTGGTAGTCAGGTGAGCAGGTGAACATTCTCTCCTCCTTTTAGCAAACAATACTGAGCACAAAGCAACTTCCCAGCACAATAGCAGCTATTTTCAGCCACAATATCCTCTAGCAAAAATGTCAGTTCATCCACTGGGTGATTTGTTCCAAGTCAGCATGAGGAGTAACAGACTGGCCTCTTGCTACATTTTCTCATCTAAATATGGTATGGGTTGCACTTAAACTACCAAACACTGTAACCTTTAATGTCATGCATTATTTTATTGTTTTATTGTTGTTTCAATACTTGAACTGGCTACTGGTCTACGCCTCATCTCACACTAAGGCTCTAAGCCAGTATTATCTGCAGGAAGACATCACAAATGCTGACCTACAGGCTAGCAAGCTCCTGATTCCAGCATTAGCTGAAACAGACTTTCAGAAATGTTTCTGTCTAGAGACTAATTTAATTGTTGACCTCTTTTGGCCTCACCCCCCTTCTTGTGCACTCTGTGCATTGTGTGTGTACTCAGTTTCTAATTTCCTATTAAGTACAGTATAGATTAAATTATTTGCACCCACAAACCAACCAATAATGAAATAACATACAACCTGGGGCTTTTATTCCCCCTGAGGACGTGGGGTTCTGGGGCAGTTACCATCTTTTTTCTGGTTGATAATCCATTCCTGTTTCACACTATCTACCATTTACTTTTGTAGTCCTGTTCAAACCAGGACCACTTCAGTGACACAACTGAGGGCTTTGGGTATTTTGATGATAATTGTTTTTTCAGTTAAGAACTTGCTAAGACTTGACTGCACCAGCAATACAGCATTTCACCCTGATTCACTTAAATAATATAAAGTATTCTATAAAAAGTGGTCATCCAGTGGTCTTATGGCCAAGGTTAAATTCTTGACTGGGAGAACTTTATTGATCTCTCTCTCTCCCTCTCCCTCTCCTTGTTTCTTAACTCTATGTTTAGACTGTCAACTCGCAAATAAAGACAAAATGCCAAAAAAATTGTTAACAAGTTTCTAATAAGCTAGAGTATGTAACTACTGTTCAAGCCCACTGTCTGTGCATCAAGCCATTACCATGCTAGTGTCATTAACATATAAACAGTAAAGGTCTCTTTAACACAAACAGTAAAGGGGAAGGACTTTATTGGAGGGCTATGTGCTCAGCATGTCCTGGAACACACATACACACTCCTCTACTCACTGTTTCATGTCCTGCATCTGACACTCCATGTTGTCCTGTTGTGTTCTGAGTAGCTGAACTTCATACAGCAGTTTACTGAGGTCCTCCTGGCGAACTTTGGTCTCCTCACTCTTCACTATGGATACCTGCAGACACAAAACACAACTTAATTCGATAACTTATTCAGAGTTAACACATACAACTACACAAAGCTTCTTCTACCTTTATTTTTTTGAATCTATCATCAAGTCAAAATGTTTTAGACCATAAACCTTCAAAACTAACGACAACCCCAATAGCTTCAGCTGATAAACATTTGACCTGCTAAACATCAGCAGGCTACCATTGCCACTGTGAGCATGCTATCATGCTGACTTTAGAATTTAGCACAAAACACTGCTGCACCTTTGAAGTAAAGTGTCACAGAGAAGGTAGCATGGCTGGGGACTCTTATTCTTCAAACTGACTTGACTCTGTGGTCCTGTGCTTGTGTACTGAACTATTGTGCAACTGAACTGGTTTCCACAAAGCATCTCATAATATTTTACAAAAATGATGCAGTGTAAAGTTAGAGCAACTGTCAGCTTTGGTTAAGGTTAGGGTGAGTGTTAAGGATAGACAAATAGCAGTTAAGGCTAGGGTAAGAGTCCCAGAAATAAATGTACATCTACCCAGTGACCCAGTAAGTGATGAAAACAAAAAAGTGTGTATATGAAGAAAAAAGCTAAATGAAATTCTGCTCCATATCTGCAGTAACTGGAAGCCTGGCTGTGTGGCACAGAAGCTGTTTTCTTTATCCATGAAAAGTCACAATAGGTTTAGCATCTGTAGAAATTTCGGTCCTTCAAAGTTGATATTATTGGTGGATTCAAATAAAGTATTTAAAATGTTTGTTTCCATACCTTCCTCTTGATGTGCTCCAGCATGTGTTCGTGTCCCTGCAGGAAATACAAATGTTGGAACTCTGTGTCATCTCTCTCAGGTTTCACCAAACCACTCTGCTCAATGTTCACCACCTTACGGAAACCATCTAGACTCACATGTATATAAGAACAAACACACACAAAGTTGAAATACATATCATAATTGAGAGAAGAGAAGAGAAGAGAAGAGAAGAGAAGAGAAGAGAAGAGAAGAGGTGTACTCACACATGTTGAGCTGTCGAACAAAGCTCGCCATATTATTGTGTTTAAAATACTTTGGCAGAACTTCCTTGGCAAAACGTCCCTGGTCAAACACATGGAAACTGGCCCCAGTCTGAAATAGAGACCATAAAAAGAAATGAAAAGTCTGTTAACAGCATTTCTGACCATGTCTTACAAAGTGTAGGAAGAGGTAGCATTTATAGTCAACAGATCACAGAGCCCTGCAGTTTGTAAATGATATAATCAGTATTTTTTTTATTTATTCTAATAGATTTTACATTGCACAGGCAAACTACTGTTCAGTGTAACAGAAAACTGTCAGTCTTGAATCTTAGCTACATCCTTGTCATTCTCAGGGAATGGTGTCTTGTGTTAGAACACTTGTGCAGCAGATCAGTTTGGGTATCAGCTAAACATTAAAGGAATCTCACTTGTTTTAATTCCAGTACAGGAAAATGAAAAAGACTCAAATGACTGGTGCTTGCAAGTTAAAATGTGTAAAGTTTAGCTGCTGCCCAGTTAATAATACAGTAGGTGAGATGCTGCATTAAACTCGGTGGATGCCTGCTGTTTATTTGAAACTTCCTTTGCAAGGCATAACCCTCCTCCAGATTCAGCCTAGTCAGCCAATAAGAGATTCTCTCCATAATTGATAAGTCATACTCGCACATTATTGCTAAGCAACTGCCACAGCTCTGTTTTACTCTGAAAAGCAAGGTTAAAAGTAATTACAGTGTTGTACACATCATTTATAATTAGATAGAGAAAGTACAGTTCATTTGCACCACAGTTATGAAATGTATATGTTTTAATCCTTTCTGTATGTAGTTATGTTTACTTGTCTATCAATAGTCTGACAATGCAGCAGCTGATGCCACACATGAAGTTGGACAGCAGCAGTGTTGTGAACAGAGAAGCTGTCCTCTTATTGTTTATCACTGGAGCCTTGTCTTTTGGTCCTGTGCTTGTGTACTGAACTATTGTGCAACTGAACTGGTTTCCACAAAGCATCTCATAATATTTTACAAAAATGATGCAGTGTAAAGTTAGAGCAACTGTCAGCTTTGGTTAAGGTTAGGGTGAGTGTTAAGGATAGACAAATAGCAGTTAAGGCTAGGGTAAGAGTCCCAGAAATAAATGTACATCTACCCAGTGACCCAGTAAGTGATGAAAACAAAAAAGTGTGTATATGAAGAAAAAAGCTAAATGAAATTCTGCTCCATATCTGCAGTAACTGGAAGCCTGGCTGTGTGGCACAGAAGCTGTTTTCTTTATCCATGAAAAGTCACAATAGGTTTAGCATCTGTAGAAATTTCGGTCCTTCAAAGTTGATATTATTGGTGGATTCAAATAAAGTATTTAAAATGTTTGTTTCCATACCTTCCTCTTGATGTGCTCCAGCATGTGTTCGTGTCCCTGCAGGAAATACAAATGTTGGAACTCTGTGTCATCTCTCTCAGGTTTCACCAAACCACTCTGCTCAATGTTCACCACCTTACGGAAACCATCTAGACTCACATGTATATAAGAACAAACACACACAAAGTTGAAATACATATCATAATTGAGAGAAGAGAAGAGAAGAGAAGAGAAGAGGTGTACTCACACATGTTGAGCTGTCGAACAAAGCTCGCCATATTATTGTGTTTAAAATACTTTGGCAGAACTTCCTTGGCAAAACGTCCCTGGTCAAACACATGGAAACTGGCCCCAGTCTGAAATAGAGACCATAAAAAGAAATGAAAAGTCTGTTAACAGCATTTCTGACCATGTCTTACAAAGTGTAGGAAGAGGTAGCATTTATAGTCAACAGATCACAGAGCCCTGCAGTTTGTAAATGATATAATCAGTATTTTTTTAATTTATTCTAATAAATTTTACATTGCACAGGCAAACTACTGCTCAGTGTAACAGAAAACTGTCAGTCTTGAATCTTAGCTACATCCTTGTCATTCTCAGGGAATGGTGTCTTGTGTTAGAACACTTGTGCAGCAGATCAGTTTGGGTATCAGCTAAACATTAAAGGAATCTCGGTTGTTTTAATTCCAGTACAGGAAAATGAAAAAGACTCAAATGACTGGTGCTTGCAAGTTAAAATGTGTAAAGTTTAGCTGCTGCCCAGTTAATAATACAGTAGGTGAGATGCTGCATTAAACTCGGTGGATGCCTGCTGTTTATTTGAAACTTCCTTTGCAAGGCATAACCCTCCTCCAGATTCAGCCTAGTCAGCCAATAAGAGATTCTCTCCATAATTGATAAGTCATACTCGCACATTATTGCTAAGCAACTGCCACAGCTCTGTTTTACTCTGAAAAGCAAGGTTAAAAGTAATTACAGTGTTGTACACATCATTTATAATTAGATAGAGAAAGTACAGTTCATTTGCACCACAGTTATGAAATGTATATGTTTTAATCCTTTCTGTATGTAGTTATGTTTACTTGTCTATCAATAGTCTGACAATGCAGCAGCTGATGCCACACATGAAGTTGGACAGCAGCAGTGTTGTGAACAGAGAAGCTGTCCTCTTATTGTTTATCACTGGAGCCTTGTCTTTAAGTCACACATCAAACTCATTGCACTCTGATTTTTTCATATATATGTGATTAGCAGGCCAGTATATACTGTATGTTAGTGTTGGCACTGAACTTACTAATAAGATGTATAACTGTTTAACTTTTATTTGCTCACATAATTTTAAGTTTAGTCAGTTTTCATAATTCAAAGGTCAAAAGTAAAATGCTATCAATGGTGTAATGTACACGTGTGATCTTGAGAATATATTTTTCACACCAAAGGAACACCCATGAAGAAACCAATGAGGTCTTATTGTGGTACTGTGGTACTATGATAATCTGTGTTATACTCAGTTGTTTGGGCTCAGCCAGTTCAAGGAACCATTTAAGAAAAAGTTTTACATTTATATACCGGTAATTGCAATCTATTTGGGACCATGTGTCACGTCTGAGGCTGGCACCTCCGCCCCCTCACATTCCAGCACCCACTCAGCGACGAGGCACACCTGACACCAATCAACCCAGTGCCATATAAGGCGGTGTCTGATGTGTCTTCATCGCCAGTTTGTCTCATGTTCCTAGACGTGTTTATGTATGCAGATCTCCGTGATTATCCCAACTCCAGCAATCCTGAATTCTACCCTGCGCCCCAGCCTGACACGACAGCTCCTGTAGTGTGGACCAGTTACCACTACATCTCAGTACTATGCTCGCCAGTTTTGTCCTCCAGCACTTCATCACCTGCCACAGCTCCTCGCCAGCAGTAATCGACACCTCTACTACTCAATTGCTTCACCCTCAGGTGCACCCGCCACTGCCATCCTTCAGAATAGAGATGGCAGCGCACATCGACCATCTCTCCTGTTTCCTGCAGAGGAGCACTCTCCCTCCTTTTCTGGGCAGCCTAGCTACGCCTGGGTCATACAGTGCCACCAGTGCCTCCTCCTCTGCTCAAGCATCTTCCCTGTGCCTGCTTCCAGCTGTCCAGTCGGTTCCCTTTCCCTTCTGTGTTCATGCGGCTGCATATGTGCATTTAGCGTCCCCTGTCCTCTATTCAATAAATACCATTCATAGAACCGGTTTTATGAGTGTTGCATATTGGGTCCACATTTTGAGCTCACCTGACGGTGCAGACTATAACACCTTGTACAAAAATATCAGCATGTAAGTGGGGCCCTCTGTCATGTATCCCTCTAAATTTCTTAGATTCTTTAATTTAAATAAGTGTTTGATGCCCAGATAGGTGAAATAAAAAAAAACAGATTTGTGAAGTACACCTTTGTTTGTTCTCGTATTCCACACTACTGATCATCACATGGCCACTGCATTTATGCTGTGAACCTTTGGAGAGGCCCAACTCTTAACATCCAAAATGACTAAACTAAACTGTTTATAACTAGCTCCAGTCTAACTACATTAAGTTGATACTTCTGCACTTCCATTTAAAGATTTTGAATGCAGAACGTTTACTTGAAAAGCAATATTTTTAAAATTGGTTACTTTTACCGAAATAAAGGATCTCAGTACTTCCACCATTGTTGGACTGCAACCTCCACCTCAAAGTACAATTTCTTGTTTTATAGCATTGTGGTCTTATGTAATTTGTTTATATTGCACACATATTACCAGAGGGAGTGCTTTTGTCTTTCTCTGGGACCACTCAACTTCAATCAGTTTAATGTGCTGAACAAGCAGGTTATTAGGAAGCTAAAAAATCTGGAAGGAGTAGAAAACCATTGTCTTTAGGTCTTTAAACCTGGTTTAAAAAAGGGCACCAATGGCTTGCAGGATCTAGCTCAACTCCTGTTCCTAGCAAGGGTCAGGCAAAAAGTAAGTTAAGCAAGGTGATGTTGAAATTGACTGAGGGGAAACTGCCTAGGGTTTCTTGTAGTCCTAAGGGAAGGGACAACTTTCTGCAACAGTCTTATTGGCTTTGACAGGTTTTTTGAGAAAGAACCTCTCCAGGTTGGTCTGATGAGAACGTGATCCTGTACAGAGTGCACCAACTGAGAGGGAAGTGTCTTTTGTGTCATTGATTGGTTTGTTTGCTTGTTGTTGTTAAATGCATTTTGAATCTGATAAGGCCTGTGAACAAAGGTTTCTTCTTCATATAGGATAAGGATAATCATCTTTATTGGCCAAGTATGTTACACACGAGGTATTTGTTTCTGGTTACAGAACCGATAGCAGCCATCTGTGGCACCAACTCAACCAATGGCTCTAACCATCGGGGGCAACAGGGGGGTTCAGTGTCTTGCCCAAGGACACTTTGACAAGTGGACTGCAGGAACCGAGATTCGAACCTTCAATCTTCCGGCTGGGAGACGACTGCTCTACCCACCGCCCCCCATATAAAGAACTATACATTTTCCTTTTCCATGTTGTGTGATAAAAAAATGTTTTTAAAAAATTGATGGTAGCGCCTATAACACTATGGCAATAACACTTGGTGATCATTTTATCAAAATGGTAAATGATGAACTCTAGCACTATAGTATAAATGTACAGTTGCAGCTTAGATGATGGATTTTTGTTGTGTTTGTTTTTTCTTTTATAAAGTGACAAGACGGTGTCTCATACATTCAACCACACTGGTGGAAAGTTACTTTTGTGTCATGTATGTTCTGAGGACTGACTCACCGCGCTCCAGCAGATGAGGTGATTGGTATCTGGATCCTCCACCAGGGTCCACAGCTTGGTGAGGAACGCTGGAACGTTGCTGATGTAGCTACCATCTACACCCATGGCACCTGGAGACTCCTGCATACTGACACTTGTCCACTCTCAGAACCACTCACAACAAGAAACCAAATCTGTGTAGAAGGTGTCTTTGTGTATGTGCAGATTACCAGACTAGTCCATGTTTGGGAAAATCCGCCTCTGATGATCTGTTATTGTTAATCCCAAGTTTGCCTCTTTGATTCCAGTTCAGTCAAACTGTCTCTACATACTTGTCCAGACAATCTCAACTTGATGGATTTTTTTTAGCTGTTTAATATATACTCATTTAATCTATCATTGCGTCCCTTTCAGTTTTTTCCTGTGTTGCTCTCCTGTCTCTGTCCTCCCTGCTACACCAGTCATCCAACTGAATGTCAAAACAAAAGGCTCTTATCACACATACACACCATTTCCCCAGTCCCCACCCCCAAACCCTGGCCTCCTGCTGACAAAAGACCATCCAGTAAAATAATACAACATGGCCACAAAAGTTACAATAACAGACCATGGTTCAACCATCGAAAGGCTGCTGGTTGAACTATGTAGGGTTCCGTGTATGTGTATGCCAGGCAGAAAAGACACCTCTTTAATTATATCTGAGATTTTTTATAAATTTCTCAATGTCATTGGTGGACATAATGACTCCCATCATCAGGTCAAAAATTCTACATGTACAGAGTATTATTTTTTCATTTATTGGACACATAGGGGATATTAACTAAACCTGTCACAAATTACCATCACTGCACCACAGTTTATTCAATTTAGTGGTTTATTTACCAACACAAAGTATATAAAGCCACAACACAGCCACAACAGTGTTAATTTGAATACACCACTTAAGAGCTGGTGCCTGAAGAATACTGCGCATGTGTGGAGTGAGAAGGAGCATAGATGAAAGTGTAAGTTTAGAGCGATTCAACTTCAATATGCTGGAAGAAATCAATAAACATTTTGGAATTGCAATCTGCATCTTTTATTTTGTTCAGTAACTGAAGCATGGTTTGATGTGAAAGCCTGTAACAGTCCACATTCTCTTCTGGCAAATGATGCTATTTACAAACACCCTCTTCCTCCACACATATGTTGTTAACTCCTCTCAGATGACTAACAGCTGTTATGCTGACAGTGGAATGTAATTGTGGAAAAATGGTTTTTAATTATTTATTGACAAAATGATTTGTTGAGAAAACCTCTCCTCCTCAGATGAACTTTCCACAGTCCACAGATAGCAAGTAACAATGGTAAACAACAGCAAGCAATGAAGATACAATTTTTTTTTATAGTAATGTTATTATTGCAAAGAACACCAAAATGTTACCAGTACTAACATTACTGAGAACACAGACAAAAACAACATTGCTAATGCCGAGGCTGAAGTAGTTACAACAGCACCACAGCAGAGCCAGTCACTGCAAGCCACAGCAGCAGCAGAGGCTCGGCGTCAACAGGTAGCTGCCTCTGTCCGTGTTTGGAACCACTGGACCCTGGATGAGGAGCACTTTCAGGTCTTCAGATGTCAACCATCTCATCATGCTGTAAGTTAGTTACATAAATTTGTTGGGTTCTGACAAGCTAGATGCAATGAATAAGAATGTTATGGAGATAAAATACAATCAAAGTTACAAATGCGTGTTTAACGTTTTGTCTGTAACAAGCGATTTGTGTGTGTGTGTCATGCTGTTCACAAATGCATGCTGTACAAACTGCACATAAAACACACTTTACAAATGCTTAAAATCGATTTTTTGTGTGCAGTTCTTTAGAAAGTACGTACACATTGTTACCTACGCATGCGTGGATCGTCTAACACACACGGATTTTTGAGTGTTTTTCCGCACTCTCAAAAGTCCACGATCCACGAATGCACGGTGCGTTTAAGGACACGTGGAAAACTCGGACATCTGAGTTTCCAAACCAGTTTCCCCAAACAAAAGTATTTACACAACGCTATTCCAAATGGACATTTTTTGTATATATTAAACAGTGGCGGGCCGTGCATTTGGTACCTGGGCCTTCAGTGGACACTTACCTGACTTAATTCACCTCTTAACCCTTGTGTTCTGTTAAGGATCATAATACCACTACTGTACGTCGCAATTATAGAAACCATCAATGCTATACAAAAATGCAATATAATAAAGTGTGGCATTACAGAGAGAGA